TTCTCAATTCCTCCTATACCCAGTTTCTTCTCTTGCTTTCACTCTCTGTAACCCCCCCCCTTGCATACTAGTGGCATTCCTGCCTTGCTTGGGGTGAAATGATTAAAAAAAAAAAAACAAACTGTAGAGAAGGCAAAGGGAAACGCTTCAATTATCTTTCCCAAAAAAGTAGGCAGTTCACAGATAATAAAGAAAAAGGAATCTGTGGAGAGCCATGATCACCTATATTCTAAAGAGATATGGCATTAAAAATATTGCTATATCTATCATTAAGCTTTGGTTTCAATAAAAGTTGAAATAATTGTTTTTAACAAATGATACAAAATCTTTGTCTTTGAAGATGACGTAGTAAGCAAAATGAAATGTATATATCTTATTGAAGAAGAAATTACAGCCAGTTGCTGAAGAATGCTATCTATGAGTGTGTGGGTGGGTAGATTACAAAGTAGACAGTTGACTCTCTTTAACAGGATGGCTGAGTGTTCAGTGAAAACAGTAAGTATGAGTGTGTGTATGGCATGGAGAGACAAACAGACTTGACTCTGGCTCTACTAGTAGACAGCATAAGGTTAGTTGGATCAGATAGGTTGATATATTTGTTTGATTTTTGTTTTTGTTTTTTACATTAAGGTTCACCCTGACTAGGGGCCATTCAGGTAGAGGGCTACATTTAAGGGGTAGTTTATATGGATAGGAGGGGAAGTTGACTCTAGACTTGAACAGGTTAAGATTGCAGGGATTGGGGAAACATCCTCTTGAGAGTCTGTTCCATAGGGCAGTGGTTTGCGGGAAGAAGCTGTTTAAATGGAATTACTTCTCGCTGATGAAATACAGAGGGAATGTGTGTGGTTTGCTACTATGTTAGTGGCAGGCCTGGTGGAACCAAGAAATGCAGTTCATCCAAGCACTTTCCATGGTACTAGCAATAGAGCAGTGAGAGACTCATCACATCTTGTTCTGATTGGTCCAGAGATGTAAAAAAAGAAAAAGATCTTTTTTTTTTAATCTGGATTTTGTAGGTTGAATCATTCGAAATCTGAATTAGAAGTCTTTTGTTTGAAAGCTTTTCTTACTACTTCTAAAATAATTAGGTTTGAATTTAAATTTGTTCCTAGTTATTGTAGCTATAATCAAATTCAAAACTTTCTCACAGTGATTTTTTTTTTTTTTTTTTTTTTTTTTTATTTTCAGGGATAGTATAGGAATAAATTATTCTTGTATTTTATTGTTTGTGATAGACAACCATTATTCAGTGTGATATTTGATTTTAAATGATGACACCTTGCTGTCAATTTAGTCAGTCAGTTATGTGCCATGCATGATACACTTGTCGGCGATCATGTATCTTTTGATACATGACTGACGAGGCAAATTTTTTCCCCACAGTAGGTTGCCATTTCTTTCTGCAGTAAACCATTTGTCATCCAAGACTATAGAACCCAGTCTGTCCTGCTATTTACCCATATCGGTGGGGAGAAGAAAAGGCTTCATACCTTTCTCAAGGAGAGTATTAGCATGTAAATGAATGTAATGGATTTGAGTGGAATTCAAACTCAGCTCTCTGATTCCTCAATATGAACCACTATCTATTACTCCACAGTATTGCACTTAAATTCATAATGTCTAGGTACCACAGAGGAAAGTTCATCAAAACAATTACCATGAAAATATTTATAGAAATTACTTCTTTTGTCCTTTCAATGTATTTTTTCTTCTTCATTTAGGAGTTTCAGGCTGCATATTCATAAACACCACTTTCTTTCCACTACCTTTTCAGGAATTAAACACAGAATTCAAAGTACCAGAATATTCTCTTCCATAACTCGTTTTAAAAAATTCTGATGATGATTAAATACAAGGGAAACATGTTAAATTCATAAATGTTTCTTTTTTATTCCTTGTGTTATCAACATTTATAGTAATTAGTTCTAACTTATGAAAATTTCATGTTTTTACTATTTGAAATTTCCAATTAATCTTAATTCTTCAGTTAATGATTGAATAAGTTCATGGTGAGTTCTATGACAACAAAAAAAACCCCAGAAATTCCTGTATTTCACACTATTTACATTATTCAGGCTATTGTCATCTTTGTCACCATACTTATTACAATGTTTTGGCCATTGTATTCTCCGGCCTTCTTCAGATGGTTGGAATGTCAAGCTGAACCCTTTTTTTTCGCTCACTGGGGTAGACTGTTCTAGTTCCACGTGCCATGTTTAATGGATGTCAAAGATAGACAGATCCTGTATTGCATTATTAAATATTTGCACCTAACAACTTTAACAAAATATTGCAATAACAATCAAAAATATGAATACTGGTTATTATTTTTTAAGAAGTAAGGGGGTACAAATGAAAAGATTTGGAATTGACAACTTTCCATTTCACTGAAACAGCTGTTAAACGCTTCTATCTTCCCTTCTTTCTTTCATTTTCTCACTGAAACCAAGTAGTGTTTTAGATATGTCTTTTGTCTTTACACACAATCAAAACTGAATAGTCCATTATGAGATATTAGCAGGAGACATTAAACACTTACAGCTTTCTTTCTTTTTTTTTTTTCACTGAAACCAAATAGTGTCTCTGATATGTCTTGTCTTTCCATGAGATCAAAACAAAATAGCCCATTTCTTATGAGACATTAGCAAAATGTAATGGATGTGTGAATTAATGAAGGGAGGGACAAGCAAGATTATATTAGGGTAAGAAATAATGTTGGATTAAGAAATCCATTAATTACTGAAAAATTATTTTGTCTATATTTTAGGTACAAAAATAGTTAACAGATATAAACTTTAAAAAGCACCTAACAGGAGATATGCATATCTTAAATAGGGTAATAGAGGCTTACTTTGTTGCAATGGCTTCCCATAGCTTAATGGTAAGGCACACTTGGCTTGAAAGTGGTTTCCTATATTAAAAAGGGAATACAGGTTTAATTCCTGTCAGGAATCACAGTTTTTAGTAATTATCTTTAGGTCAGTAGACATTATAGCAAATAATATCACAATATAAAAAAATTAAAATTACTTCAAACAGGTTGTATATTAAATGTTTAACTTAGCTATAACATAGAAACTATATACAACATAATTTTTTGACAGTTATTTTATAATTAATATTAAATTAGGAAGAAAACTTCACATTTTTCACCTATCTGTGACCCAATCATTTATGTGTAAGGGCAAAGATTAAAAGCTTGTAAGATAATTCCAATTAATGTCATCTATTTATCCCTAAATACCAATTTTGGAATTATTTACAAACTCTCAAACAATTATTGATATTTTACTAAGCTTTGCTGAGTACATCACAATGTCTGTAGGTTTGTTGATGGAGGTAGGAAAACGGTTATACCAGCATTCCAACCAGAGAGGTCCTGGTTGTCCTGAAAGTTATTTAAATGCCCAGGTTTGAACATCAACCTCTGACACCAATGGGGAAAAAAAATAATAAATTATTACAATTGATAATATAAAATACATATAAAATTTATGGATTATTTTGTTCTTAATTTATTAGATTTTTTTAAATTAATGAAACTATTTTTTTGAGTTAAGGGAAAAAAACATTTCTTTAATTGAAAATAATTTCAGAAAGGATATATAAAACATAAAAGAAAATTTTACAATGTTTGAAAAACAGATATTTTTGTGACGTACAGTGGCCGTTAATAATTAAGCATAACTCAAGACTTCAACGTTAAGATAAAACAATATTTAATTACAAATACTTAACAAGAACAAAGAAGTAAAAGTCAACCAAAGATAATTAATCATTTCAGTGAATACCTTGTTAGTAGTACAGCATGGCTTAATATCTGGTAAATCTTAAATCAAAACCCAAATCATCAACGCACAATAATTCATACTAATTCGACTGGATAGTTCCACTCAATAGTCACTTTGCAGTCAGTGGCCTGACACCACTATTTATACACCTGGAAGAAAACATATATTCATAAGTTCAGAGTGTCGGTAGTTACTCATTTTCTTCCTATATGACAAATATAAAGTCCAATTATAAGCAAACAACTGTAATAATAATATACAAAATTCTGTAAAACAATAAACCCCAAAAGTTTCCATAGATATTGTTGGTACACCAAAGCTTGTGCTTGGCACCAAACATGTTCCAATACAACATATCTTTAAAATATTTTTATTACAAATTTCTTATTTTTAGTCCTTCAACTTGCTATTTTAAACATTTAAAATCTAAAAACTCTGTATTATGCAGTTGTATGTCAGTGCTCCTACTAGTCAAATGTGCCTTTGCTATTCACATATATTTTGTTTACTCTTAGAGATTTTTTAACTTGAAATGTTAAAAAAAAGAGCTTCAGATACCCCTATGGTAAGGGTCATTACATGTTGAGGGAGAGGTGCAGTAGGCCAGAAGCAGGCTTGTCATCAGGACAAATTTATTATTAAAATTTGAGGATAATGTTGGCCACAAAAATGTTTCCCTGCAAGCCGCAGAGAGATAGCTCTAATGTTTGCTATTCCTACCCTACATATAACAATTGAGTTGTCTACCCTATATACTAGGGTTATACCAAATCATCATTTAGTAAATTGGTCATATCAACATTTGCCAATTAACCAATTATCAGTTTTGTTTGTTTGTTTGTTTTTTTTGCTAATTAATTTAATCAGTTTTCATACTTGATTGTCTTTGTTTATTAAATCACATAAATTTAATTCTAGGCTTTAAATTTAATTTAAATAATATTTTGATAATTTTCATGAATATTTTTTTTCTTTGTTTTGCTAATCTTTATAGAGAGTAATTAAATTACTGATTATCAACCAATTAATCGGTAGCATCCTAGAATCTGAAATGTTTCCAAATCCAAAAAAATCCAAATTTCAAAAAGTGGCTGGTCCCAAGCATTTAAGATATGTGATTGCTTACCAGTAGTTGATATCTGTATAATAACAACATCAAAATAAAATACATATTGTCTCATTATTATTTTTTGTTATTTATTTAAGGTTCCTTGAAAGTTCCAAGAATGCCCTACCATTTTTCGTTTTCGGGCTGTGGTTTCCTTGGAATTTACCATTTAGGTGTTTCAGCCTGTTTGAAGCAACATGTACCCAACCTCTTGGAGGATTGTAAGATTGCTGGTGCCAGTGCTGGATCCTTTGTGGCCTGTTGCCTCATTACAGGATGTTCTATTGGTAAGAATCAAATTTATTTTGATTGTCACTAATAAATATAGGGTGAACCAAAAAAATGGGAATTTTTGAAGTGCGTATTGCCAGACATGAGCAAGTGGCAACACTGTGAGACAGTGACCTTGAGCAAGTAAACATTTCGCCATTTAGAATTCAAGATGAAATTCACAGTATCCCAGCTGAGATGTTGCAGCAGTCAATGAGGAATCTCAACAGCAGATTTCAAGAATGCATTCGTAAAGGAGGACGCCATCTACAGGACGTAATTTTTAAAAAATGAAAATTCCATCATTGTTTCTTAAATGGCATGTTTTAAGGTTTCAATTACTATGAATAAAATATTTTTCTTCCATCACTCTTGGTTTTATTGGATTGTTAAAAAGTTCCCGTTTTTTTGGGTCACCCTGTATTTACAGTCTACCATCCAGATCATACTCTGCAGGAAAATGCTGCACATTTCAAAGTTAAATTCAAAAAGAGAAATTGAAACTAGCACATTAAATGATTTTATTAGTAATTATTATTTTTTTTAAATCAATGTCACTCAAAGCAAGGCCGCTAACATACAAGGGGTTACAGAGTGTGGAAGAATTAGGAACAGAAACATTAAAAAAAAATATGAGTAGAAAGAGAAAAGAGTAATCAGGAGGACAGAAGATAGTGATTGACATTGCATTAAATTTGTAGATGAAAGTTGGCTGGAAAGCATAGAGCCAGAAGGGAGTTACACAAGTGAGAAGTGCAAGAAAAGAAACTGTTATCATAGAAGTTATGGCTAAATCTAGTTAGCTCAAATGTAAATTGATGAGCTCTCGCTACCAGTCTAGTATTGCTTCTAAATTTATACAGTCTAAGTATCTGAACAATTACCATGAAAGTATTTATAAAAAAAGGCACAGAGAAGCAACCTTACAGCAGTGGGCAAGTGACTGAAGGACCAATAATATTGCTGATTCTTCTTTGGATCTTATCAAGGAACTCCCAGTAAATAGCAGGGGCACTGGACTACACATGGCAGCAATATTCTAAGCATGGACAAATGGTAAACTTATAGATATGCAGGATAGATTCAGGAGAGAATTGTCTTGCCTGACACAGTGAATTGACTTCCTTAGCAGCTAACCTAGCAATGGATTCAATATAGTATTTCCACATCATGTCAGCTGAGAATGTTAGCCCAAAAAGGTGCGACAGATCATTTTCCTGGAGGACAGCATCAGCCATGCTGATGGAAGGCAGCAAGGCATCTCTCAAATGATTAATAGAGAGAAATTTAGTTTTGTAAGTGTTAAAATTGACAAGCCATCTTTTGCTATATATTAGACAGGGATGGCCCAGATGAATCAAGAGTAGAGTTTGAGGAGAATTTATGAGCAAAGCATTTAGCTTTATCAGCAGAAGATGATAACACTTCAATTGAAGATGCAAGGAATAGACACCTTTCACTTATTTAGTACTCCATTACAGAGATGTTAGTAATCACAAGAGCCAAAGTTTTTTGAGTCTATGTAGTGCCTCATTCTCTCAACAAACAGGGACTTAGCTCCTTTGAGGACTTGCTTACATTTGTTACAAACAGTAGAAAAATAGGCACCTGTTATGATCACAGCTGTCACGCTGATATAGCCAGAAATAGTGGTTCCTGTGTGTTATGGTGGACAAGCATGCTGGTGTGAACTATGGAGAGGATTGCAGTTTCACCTGGTATTTCCAAAAAGGGATGAAAGCATCCATGCTGGCTTTGACCCAAAAAGAAACTTCAGTGGTGCAATTTTCAATTGGGAGGTTGAAGATATCAGTACAAGGGGCATTACGAAGAAAATCTCAGAATTACTCACAATTAGAATGCTGGTAACAGAAAAAGGTCTTATGGATAAGGGATTCCTGTTTAATGGCTGCTTGAAAGGAAATATCAATAGCTACCATAGAATGGTCTGAGTTACCAAGAGGGCAGTACACTCAATTCTCTTTTTGCATGAGGGATACATTCCAGAAACTACTGTACAAAACAAACCCATGTAAAAAAAAAAAGAAATATACAGTGTATATATGAAAATTAGAGATAGGTTCCATCCAAATATATTTAATAAAAAAATGTTTAAATAATTTTCATATACAAATAAATTTAATTTTTTATTTTTATATATATATATATATATATATATATATATATATATATATATATATATAACATAATCATTCAAAGTCTGTCTATATTTCTGAGATGAGGTATTATGTACATTATTTACATTATTATTAAGGCTATTGTCCTCATCTTTCTTGCCATATTTATCACAACGTTTCAGCCATTGTACGCTCCGGCCTTCTTCAGGTAGTTGGAATTTCGAACTGAACCCTCAAGAACACATGGCATAGTGGATAAAGGCGTTGGTTAGATCCAGTGACAGGACCCAAAGAGTGTGAGTTCAATACCCGGTTAAGGCAGTGGAGAACTTTAAGAGGGAAATTAGCAGGAGATAACTGATAACTGACATCCATCAAACATGGAACGTGGAACTAGAACAGTCTACCCCAGTGAGCGAAATAAAGGGTTCAGTTCGAAATTCCAACTACCTAAAGAAGGTCAGAGCGTACAACGGCCGAAACGTTGTGATAAATATGGCGACAAAGATGAAGACAATAGTCCAAATAATGTAAATAATGTACATAATCATTCAATCGTACAATGTCACTACAAGACAGTAAACATGCCCACTTTTTATTTTTCGGTGGTGCAAAATCACTCTTGCCACTGGAAATATTTAATGGCGATATATCTTCATGTATATCGTGAACAAAATTAACATATTGTGTTTCTTTTGTTTCACTGGTTTTGAATATGAATTTGGTTATCAGACACTGTGATTTTATTTTTGTTAGTCCTTTATATGATTCTTCATAACGTGCCATAATCATTTTCAAATCACATTGAAATTGCACAGCTTGTTTAACATTGTTATCACTTGAAAGAAAAAATTTCCAAGTTTATTGGCTATTTGGAAATCTTCAATAATTGTACTTGCAAATAGTGGAACCACTTCATCCTCACTACTATAAACTAACATGGAATCATATACATTCTCTGAAATACTCTCTATAATTTGTTCTTCATTGGGAGCTTGGTCAATTGTTAATTCTGCAATATCTTCAATTGTTAATTCTTCAAAACCTTCTCTGCCAATCTGATGTGAGAAAGTGATAATATCAGAATGTAATTCATTCGTATTTATATTAGATACAAGATTTTTAGGCTTTACATATTCTGGCCAAAGGGATCTCCAGCATGCATTTAGAGTGAATGACTTTAATTTGGATAAAGCCAGGGCAGCATATTTAACACAATTAATTATAGTAAATTTAAATGTTCACTGGATATAATATGATTTGAATGTTGAAATTGTACTCTGATTAAGCGGTTGAATCAGTGATGTTGTATTAGATGGTAAGAATACAATCTTTACATTCGGGTGTTCCAAATTTGGATGACCAGGTGCATTGTAAGTAAAAGGACTTTATCTTCCATATATCTTCTTACTTCAGGAATGAAGCAGTTGTTGAACCATTCAGTAAATATTTCTGCTGTCATCTACATTTTTTATTGGCTCTCCAATAAACGGTTTTAACAAACAATCTCCTGAAGCATTGCTATATAACAAGAAAGTTACACGGTCTTTAGCTGTCTTAAAACCACTGGTCCATTTCTCTGATTTTGCTATATGCATTTTGTTTGGCATTTTTTTCCAAAAGAGACCAGTTTCATCTGCGTTGAAAACTTGATCTGAAATGTAACCACCGCCTTCAATTATTTTGGCCAGTTTTGGAAGAAATTCTTAAGTAACAGTCTTATCTGCCAATGAAATTTCACCTCTCATTTTTATATTATGCAGTGTGTGTCTTTTGAGGAATCTTGTAAGCCATCCTGTACTTGCAGGAAATTCATTCTTCTTTTTTATCACAAGACAGATGTAGCACACTTGATGACTCCAGATCATTGATCTTCTTGTAAAATCATATGCCATCTGTCTTATGGTTTTACCATTTACTGGTATCCTTTTTTAATTGTTTTCTTCTTTCTTTATTTATTCTTGAATTATGTCTCTTGTATATGACGATGACGTGGCAGATAATTTTGTTCCAGAAACCACAGATTGTCTAATGGTGGCATCATTCATTTTGATCATTCTTATCATAGTTTCGTTCAAACAGAAAGCTCTACCCAAGGATGCTGCACATTCGTCCTTACAAAGATGATCCAAAAATATTGATCTTGGTCTCCAAAGAAATTGATGCTCTTTTATTTTTTTGAGATGTATCAACCAATATTTTGGGGTAGGTTATCACTATCACGATCACAAATATAAAAAAAATATAGCAGCGGATGAAACACGCGACACATCTTTCGTATTAAACCCGATGCTAATGACTGCTGCCACACACCGTCTGATGGAGCAGTTACATGCAGCCAGATGTATGTAAAATGCATAGGTCCCATCCACACAGGAGAGTTGGGGATCACTATACAAAAAATAGATCGGATTCTATTTTGCTTCACTAAATTGTTACTTAACCATGTTATGTAGAGTTTCAACATTTTGTAAATTATAATTGATTGATGCTATTTAATCGTTTACTTGCCACTTGCAATAAACTCAGGGGTCACACAAAGACAGATGTTTAAACCGTGGTAAAGTAAAAAAAAATAGTGCCAAAAAATAATTGGTTCTTTTTGTTGGACCGTGTTATTTCAAAACTGCAAAAAGAGAATTGAGTGTATTGCAAAGTTTGGCAACAGCAAGAAGGAGGAGGCTAAGAAATAGATCCACTAAAGAAACCTGTTGCTTGGTTTGGCTAGGGAAGCGAGTAGGGAAATCCACAGGGAAGGGTTGGGCAATCGAAAAATTTAATGTCTGTATAGCATACGTTATAATTACAGCCTGATTATAAACACAAAATTACATTTCTTAATTACTGCAAATCTTCTGATTAGTCAAAATGATACAATT